ACTGCGCTCACTTTTGGGTTTGTATGACTATATGTACTACTTAAGAGTATATATATGATGAACTTCGAAAACTGGGGATAGATTTAGACTATTTGTTTTGCAGGAAACAGAATTAAAATATTATCCAACAAAATATTTCTCCATTGTCAATATATCAACTTTCAACTACAACAAAGAAATGTGATCTGTACCTTTTTTCCCCAAAGCCATTAAGCAACTAGAACAGTGAAAGAAATCGTTCCCTTTGGATTGAATGGACTGTGGTTCAATCAACGAACGATCTATCATTAGTTCTAAACCAGTGAACAAACAGCTAGATGGAGAAGCCAAATATAAATTAACTGGAAAAGTCTGCGTATTGACAGAGTTAGAGGCCAAGTCCTCAGTGCTTTTAGAAGTTGGATGACAGAAGTAGCCATCTTCAATGCATAAACCTTCCTCCTCGAGAGTGATAAATTTCTGGAAGTTATTAGTACAAGTAACATCTCTAAAACGTGTATGTGAAAATAGTTTGCTTACTTTATATTTCCTAACTTCTGTTGGCAAAATTTGCAAAGAATCGAATCAGCTGCAGTAAAGTTACTCATAACTTTACTTAATTTAGTTATGTTGTCACAGGTCTGACTGCTATACGATGCATTAAATCTGCACGACAAAGTTCTGTCATTAACTTGACAAAGATTTTTGCATGTCATGCATGATATATTCAATCCATTTAATGTCACTTGATGAGTTTCATTGGCATTCTGAATCTCAATAGTATCCGAGTACACATTAATGTGACACGATCTGAACACAAAAGTATTAATGTAGAATAACCCAAACCCTGTCTCTTTGATGCGACAATATGTAACATCAAGACTTTTGCTATTATCAACGGCTTCAGCGAATAGCATTAAAGCTGAACAGTGCAATCTCCTGTTTTTCAACACCAATTTAAATTTTAGGCGAGTAGCTGTAATATGAACAGGAGTTTAGATTGATTCGATTTAGCTTCGACAGTTTACTCAAATAATTAAGAAATCTATGAGGGAAAACGATGCAAAAATTTCTATATGTCAATCTAGAAGTGTCGAAATTTACAAAGGCAAATCAAGACATACTGCACAAAGCCGAAGTAAAAAAATAGCGCAAAAATTGTCACGATAACCCCTAAGCGCTGCCCAACTAAAAACCCATATGGCTTCAATGAGCGCGGTGTTGTTACTCTCCGAGCTAATAGCGGAAAGTTCAAATGGTTGTGAACGGAATAAAAGCTTTCGCTTAACGGGCTTACGTGTCTAGTAGCAACCCAAGCTCCCAAGTTTGGGGAAATTCCAGAAAATTTTGGGGAAATCCCTGAAGTGAAATGGCCCTCCCCAAAGTTTGGGGTAATTTTAGGGACCACCAATACCTCCAGGATGGAACAACTAATGCCACATCTATGTTACGTAACCAATATCTTTGTCACCAGCTTGCGTAAACTGGTTGATTTTCTTGTGCTTGCTTCTTGCTGTTCCAGTACGGTTTCAGGTATTTAATAATGTTCACTGGTTGGTAGCCTAGCCACTCGACTGAACAAATTCTAGCCAGTTTGTTAGTTATTTGTGGATTTATATTTAAGTATGTGCGTCTGTCTTAGAGTAGTAGGGATTTTGAAAACCTAAAGCTGTCACATCAACAGGTGTGAAGTTGGTTAGTTCAAACGTGTAAACAACAAAGAGATAATCTTAGTGCTACGAGAAGGCGGTTGACTCAAGAATAAATATATAATTCACTTAATTGGAAATGTGTAAAAAGAATTAATCGAAAGAATAAGAGATGAAATTGAGATGATAATAGGAAAGATAGGAAGTAGTTGCTGATACATAGTGCTGATAACAATGGTAAATTATGGGACATGCATCAAAGAAATCTGATTCAGGAGGTAGATTGTGATCCGTGGATAAGTACCTGTTTATTAAACCTCCTCATAAAGCTATTCACTAAGTTGGCTGCGGTCACATAGGATGAGAAAGGATTCCAAATGGGGCAATCCGTAATGAGAAAAAGTGAGAGTGTACCTAGATGATCGCTCTTTAATATGTAATCCTTCAAAAATTGCCTTATGGTCATTTGTCATTAGTGACAGTGTATCCCATGATAGTGGTACGTGTGAATTTGTTAGTTTCCGCCTGAAATGCAAGGGAAAAGAGCCGCTGATTTGTTTGGTTTACCACAGTTCAAGGTGTGAGTTAAATGAGGTCTTGCTAAACAGTCTCAGTACTTGGTCACAAAGTAGTCGATGTCTAATCCTAGGAGACTTTATTGCACCCACGGTGGGCTGGAAAAATCCGAGAACTGAATTGTCAGAAAACTCCGTCGAGCAGGAACTAGTTAATGCGGTTATTACATATGCCTTAGTGCAACATGTGAAAGAAGCGACTAGGTACCACCCGGACTCAGAATCATCCTTACTAGATCTTATACCGACCCACTATGAAGATGGCGACTTCCATACAGTTGTCGAAAACGAAAACGTGTCAGCTCAATCCAGACCTAACGTTTAGAATGCAAATATACAAGATATCATACACTCCTCAATAGACTGGATAATAGACCCAGAGTCACCGACTGAAACAGCTTGGGATGTATCTCGAAATTTATACTTCAAAGTTAATGGACCTCACATCCCTTTAACTCCACCAAGGGAGCCGATAAACTCTCCGTCATGGTTCAGTAAGGAAGTTCGCACTCTACCCCGTAAGAGAAGAAAAATGTGTCATAGGTTTAGGTTACTGGGGCTGATGAGACAAAATCTCAATTTCGAGAAGCTCGGAATACCTGTGCCTTGACCCTTTGTAAGTCTAGAAGGTTGTACGAAGAGAAAATTGTCAGGGAATCCATAGAATGCCCTAAACGCTTGTTTTCGTATATAAACCAAAGGACGAAAAAGGAAATATTCCAGCATTATGAGGAGATAATACTGCTTCATCATTGGTGGAAGACAACTTTGGTAAAGCTCAAGTATACTTTAGCAATGTATCTACCATAGAAACACCCTTGCCGTCAGTCCATACCAACCCCACACACACATTGGACAACGTGACCACTAAAGAACTCGATGTCTTTGGTCTGCTAAATAAGCTTGGAATAGGCAAATCTGCAGTGGCATTAGACCATAACCACACAATCTTCAAAGCTGAACACAACACTACTCGGAAAATAGATATTCAATATTTAACACGGAGAAATACCTAACGATGGAAAAGGCGGGAACAATGAATGGAATGAACTGGAGTTGATCGGATGGCATGACTCGGCCATGCAGGCGTGGTCTCTGCTGAATGTTACCTTATATCTTCTATTCACATTAAATATATTGTTCCTTCTCTAGCCTAACCTTGTTCTACATCATGTATTGGTAATTGATACGATACAGTGAGTTGGTGTAGTCGATGGTGTGACTTCCACGTAAGATCTTATAGATTAGGCAGTTATATCATGACAAATCTACAAATTTAGGATTAGGTCTATTATTAGAGCAATACTAATATCATAGTAGATCATAATTCCACAGGATTATTCAAAAGAAGCTATTTAAGTACCTCCGTTTAAACCGGATCCTTTTGGAGAAGCTGCATATTTTTAGAATAGGTTATTCTCTTATCACTAACTTATTAGTAGCTCGTGAAAGCTGGTCAGCTCTTAATAACCAAAGGTTACCTAGAGACGTAGCCTACATTGACTTCAGCGGAGCTTCGGACGAAATTCTTCACAACCAACAGTTATATAATATAAGAAATGTCGGGATTAGACGCAATCTATTGATGTGGATAAAAGACTTCCTAGTTGGGCGCCAACAAAAAGCACGGGTAAACTCCGAGTGGTCTAGTTGGGAAACTGTGCTTAGTGGAGTGCCTCAAGGTACAGTTTTGGGTCCGGTGTTATTCCTCTCATATGGAAATGACCTTTCTCGTCTCCCATCATCATCGATCCTGTTATATGCTGACAATGTCAAGATATGGAGAGCGACAAGAAGTGGTGGTGATAGGTTAGAACTAAAAAATGACTGGTCACAAACCTGGCAGTTGCCGATAAATACCTCCAAGTGTATTATGATGTATATTGGTCAAGGTACAGATACATACATGATAAGTAGTATTGAGCTACCTGTTGTCCAGACACGTAATGTCTTGGGAGTCATCATTAGCCAGGACTCAAAGACTGCTGCACACTCTCGTGCGAAAACCGCCAAGGTTATTAGAACCCTATGGTCAATACCTAGGACCTCTAGTCATGTTGACGTCGAAGTATTTTGACTTTTTCTACAGCGTTTGTGAGTCCTCAACTTGAGTAGCGAATACAACGGGATAGCGCGCGCTTAAAAATTGACAGTGCACTCATGGAAAAAGTTCCGAGAACAGCATCTAAACTGATTCCCGGAATAACGAAGTTCCGGTATGCTGCTCAACAGGCTAAGCTAAATCTATTCCTGTCGACGTATCAAAGGAATAGAGGCTGCTTGAATACAGTTTCCAAATTAATTAGTGATAAGTTTGCACCTGATATGCCCTAATTTTTCTTGTCTTCTAAAACAGAATTTACGAGAGCACTCCAAAAAAGTTCACAAGCCCAGAAAAAATTACTTGCCAACTGACTATCGACTTTCCCACTGAATTATCAACGAGTGGAATTCATTACTTCAGAATGTGGTTGGGGATCCATCTATTAATGCTTTCAAAAGAGAGTTGGATCAACACAGAGTCCATCATTTCCAGGACTAACTCAGGCCATCAAGCCCCCTGACCTTTCCGAACTGAAACTGAAGCTGTAGGCACACTTTATGCAAAAGACGCTGCTTTTCAGTTTTGGTTTTCCAATGTCGTGGTTAGTATGGTATAACGGTTGTATAGTAAACACTTTTAATCATGCGGTTACTAAGACAACTGGCGCCTGCACGTGTTTAAAAATGAGCAATAAGAGTAGGGTCGTGCATAAAAAGCAGCTTGCCATTAAGAAGGTTATTATCCACAATTCCTATGATGTTTCAGATAAAAGAAGAGAAAGAAAAACAATTCTTCCTAACTGATGATGATGGAAACATCATACCCGGAACAAACAGAACACCGGTCGGAGGTTTGAAGCTTACTATTTTATAGCACATCTGTTTCCAGAAGTTAAAATTAAAAAAATTGAAGCATCAGGAAATTACGACATCTTGTCACTCGCGCGTTCAATGAACGACAATTTTGCATCGAGAACCAAAGAGTTATTTACCCCAGAGGTGGAAGCTGTTAAAGAAGCTATCAAAACAGGTCTTTATATATACATATATATCCTCAAACGTTTTTAATATCCGATGAAGCTGCTTTAATTTCCGGTTCAACCCAACTTTGATATAATCCACTCAATAGTATCATAGTAAAATACAACATATTTTTCAGCGAGATGAGAAGGCGTGTTGGCATTTTCAAAAATTTCTGTTGGTTAAAATATTCAGCCCTTAAATTTTTTTGAAGACCACACGTCAGGGATGCGATGTTTAATGTTATTTTAAATAGTGTCACCAGCCTATGATGTTTACTAAGAAAATTGATTTTGGATTCTAAATATCTCAACCGGAGTTGGTTAATTTTATCAAGAATGTATTTCAGTCGATCACTTCTAGACGGCAAAATCAATGGGGATATTGATTCCAAAATCATTATTCAAAACATCGAGTGCATATGTAAAGCATCCACTCGATCAGAAATTAGATGGTTGGATACTATGGGATAACCTTGACTTTTCTAAGGAAACAAGAATATCCTTTTATCATCGTAGTTTTAACGCTTCCACATATTGCAGTATGTCTGTCCAATACTAAATTAGGCTTTATTTGTTTAAGACACAGCCAAGATTGAATCGTCGCTGACACCACAGAAAGCCTTAAAAAGAGATTGAAAGATTTCAGGAGCTACTGATCTGTAGTGAGTTGCAGTTTTAAGTTCATGGCCTATAATAACTTGAAATTGATAAGTTTTGAGGGAGTCAGTTCAGAACGTTTCTAGGCGACTGACTCTACCACATTAGCATGTGACTATCGACTTCAATGATAGATTGTGTGATTGTAAAACTAAATAGTACATAAATGAAATGCTTAACCATATGAAGTAGAGTGAAGTATGATGGAGGTTTATAATATTATCAACATACTTGAAGTCCATACTGAAATCACATATCACAGGTAGATGGCGTTATTTCACATGATTTGAATAGGCTGATGTGATCAGTAAATATTGTTACGCGTATAATCTAAAACCATTGGTTCTGAAATTTTTTATTAAAGAATGTTTCCAATCTCTGAATAATGTTCTTTTCAGAGAACTGCTTTTAAAACTGCTGGTATAATATTTCTTTGACATCAGTGGTTTTGCTAACTGTTCTCAATGGTCAGGCAGTATCATATATTTCAACAGGTTATATATATATGCTTGTATATAAATGCATTACTTGTCTTTCACCTGTATCAGTGTAATATGAGTGGTTATTTTTGAGCTAGATAAATTGATATTGAAGTGTTTACTAGGGAGGGATTCTGTTTCATTTCATGGACCGTATAAATTTTGAGATAAACATTAATAGTATGCATCAATTACAGTAAAACCTGTTGTACCAAAACGATGAGCTTATTAGCTTGCTAAAATCATAGAGGAGACTTGAGTTACATAGTTTAGTTAACATCAAAGACCAAACAGCCAGTGATACCAATTATTCTATGGCGCTTAAATATTGGTTTCACGTGTGTATACGCTTAAAGTCTAGCCTTTTAATCCATCTAATATGTAAAACAATTAATCTAGCTAACGTTTGAGCAACTACCTTTTGCAGATTGCATACGTTTCCTTTTAAAATTCAACAAATTTTAAGGTATATATGTTGCATGGAGACCAATAGATAAACCTTGGAACCAACAAGATTGTCAACGTGTATGTTCCACTTCTCGTTGTTTTTGTGGACACTCTTTAAATCAACATGAAGCGTTTTCTGTGAATAAAGCATTCCCAAAGTGTAATCAGGTTGGCGTCCATTGTTTTAATTAATTATTTTTAGATTTTTGTGCATAAATAACGTTCTGTAAGACTTTTTCACCTGTTACATAAGTTTTAAAGCACAATAATTGTTAAATAACCAGTAAATCAGGTGAAAAACAAAGTTACACGATTGGTAGATATCTGAAGTTCAGTTAATATATTTTACAGATTTATGTTTCTTACGTAAATGAGTCAGGAGAGCATACAGAACTAGGTGAAATTCAAGACGAAGAAAATGTAAATTGAGATAATGAGTGTATTTATATGCAAAATTGTGATTAATTTTAAGTCATATCTCTTTGAGTCCTAATAAGAAAGTAGAGCGCTGCACATTCTGATCGATGTTTACGTGTAAGACGGCATTAAGACTCAAATTTAACCGCTAAACTGGGTTGTTACACTCACTAATTATCTCTCAAAAGAAAACGTCAACCAACGAGCCTCTCATTAACGTTCATGCATCTGACAAAATATAACTCTTCGCTGAGGTAGAAATGTGCAATATGAAATAAAAATTACCTAGAAAGTAAGTGGTATTATGTCAGTTTGTACCTAACTATATCAAAAAATCATCAGATATCAAGTATTAACTGAGATCTTTTTGTATTAAATTGAATTGCTGTCAGTTATAATATCTACAAGATTAGTCACTGCATTTACAATATTGAAAATATCGACCACAGGGAATGTACTTGATGAGATCTAAATGTTGAAAATATGAGCTAAAACGGATATATCTATTAATTTCTAAATGTTTTATCAGTTATCTAACTTAGTGCGAAATTTTAAAGATTAAATTCAGTAACATTTCAGAAGATTATATGTCAATTTTTCACACCTAGCAAGTCAACTACATCATTTAGTAAACACGAATAACACAAAAAAGTTTCTTTATGATGACTAGTAGAAGTGTGGATCTGTGAACGCTTATTGAATTCCACCCATTTTTCAACATAAACAATGTTCTACGTGTGCTAGGATTCGGCCACATTTATCTACTCTTCGTGATGTTTAATAATCTGACTATGAGCTGAACAATCAAAATCAGACATGGAATTTATGGGCATTTGTTTTTCTCCCCGATTTTTAGTTGTTAATATTAATAAGCACTTCCATGTCTTGGTCTCTTACACTAGAACATTTATACATAGGTACCTCAATTTTCATATTTGCATTGATATCAATAGTCGGCCAAGGAATTTCGCTCTCGTCATCCGGTATGACGGTCAGATGCTGTTGTTAGTTTATTCTTCTGAATAAATATTATTATTTAATAAATATTATTGCCCTATGTAATCTAACTTATCACAGGTCTACTTTAAGCAAGTCAACCGAATGATCTACAAAGTAAGAATTGATTGTGACACATCGATTTAAGTATTTGCATCTAAAGAGAGAAAGGATGATCCTTCCCATAACTTGGCTTTTTTATATTATTAGTTTCACGTTCTTATTTTGTTCTAGACTGGGTGCTCATGCAAAGGGTTTAAGTTTGTTCCCAGTAGACCAGAAGAAGTTGGTGAATTTTGGTTAACTAGACGCAATGATTTTGATGGTAATTCGTATCGCGTTAAATGCAAGTGTAAGCATACTCATGAAGAACATGTGGCTGATCTCGTTCCTTATCGATGTAAAGTTAAAAGATGCAACTGTTCGGGATTTTCATCAGCTTTCCTTTGCGCTGCATGTGACAAGCACTGGCATGAGCATCAAACAGTTTTTGAAACTGAAATGGAACGTAAAGCTGAAGGACGTCCAGTTGGTAAGTTTAGATAAGTGGTCAAGGTTACTAGATGTTATTTTATCATATGTTCATGGTCCTGACTACGTTGTAAGGGAGTTGTATTATGGATATACTAAACCTAACTAAATATTGATTCCTCAATTGGTTTTCAAAAGTCCTAGCTCTTTTCTCAAGTGTTTGTTTATTAATAAAGAATGTGGTACTTTACCAATATACTTATGTCACCAAGTTCATCAGATAAACGATAGCTAGCTTATTTTATCTGAATCCGTGTACTCATTTTTAATGTGATGTAAATAAGTATAGAGTGGATAAATTATATACAAAATATTATAATATTACTAATATTAAGTAATGTTCCAGATGAAATGTTGAAATGTTTTTTATATTTGATTGGTTATCTGTAACATTACTTTGGATAATGTAAAAGCATTATATTCTACAGTCATTCGAGTTTACTACTGATTCATACACTTATACACAATCTCATCTAGCTATCTGAAATGAAAATAAGTCCACAACTCACTTATAAATTTATACATATCTCCCTCAGAAAATTAGGTCAGATTTCTAACCGGTATCGTAAATATATTTCCTAAGTTAAGCTAAGTCGTGACAAACGGTATGCGTCCGTCAGCATCTCCTATTTATCATTTGACCTATGTCTGATTAGGTTGGTGTATCATCTGTAACCCCTGCAAAATAAGTCTGGCTATTTGGATTAAGCCGTTTAAATCAAGGTGAGACTACAGGGAGTTATCTTTAGATCTATATTCCTACACAATTATTGATTTGACGTTGCATAGACTCAGATTGTTACTGCTTTTAGTTACTATCTATAAAGATAGTATTTAAGAATATAATTTGTTTAACCAAGCAATTTATTATTGTTTGGTTTGTAAAATGAAACTAGCATCATATCGATGACAATTTTGTAACCAAGTAATATTCAGAATCCAATCTCAAACAAAGTTCGTTCATGATCTAAACATTTTGCTGGTGACATTTTTGATTACGACGCTATTATATATTCTGCCATCTAGTATTCTTCGGACACAATCCTTCCATCGACTGGTTCCAACTTGGCGCACAAATCGGGAGTGAACAAAAATTATATTCTGAAAGTCCGAACAGAAAAACGTCGTGTGGTAAAGACGTTAACTCAAGCGTAAAGTTTAAAGAGAAATATTCCACATTCTTCTCAATCCATCCACCGGCTCTAATTACTTAAAAATTAACCATTTAGAGTGTTTCTACCTGATCTTTTCTAAAGCACACATTAGTCAAGACCACCGTTTAGCTAACTGACACAAAGTAATGTGGGTTTTTAGCTTTTAAAGAATGACTTTGTGCAAAGTTTTAGATGCACATTTTTTGGTGAGCATCATCATAAAAGACAGTTAAGTTTTACAAATTTCTGATGATTAATTTCACATATTTAACAAAATGTGCCATCACTTTTGTTTCATCAGTAGCCTTTGAACAACCTGTAAATAATTTTCTTGATATTTAAATTTGTTTAATGAAATATATGAGAAAAACTCTACTAAATATGTAAAGACATCACCGTAATTATGTAAAACAACCATAAAGTTGCTTAATCAACCAGTTCAAATTTGGAAAAGAACTGTGCATAATTTCTTTTTCGCTTACTGTTAATGCTGATAATAAAATAGATTGCAAAATGATCGCCAAGACCTAAATTATGTCCAAAAGGTTTTAAATTATGGTAATGCACTTTTTCTATGACCACTGGGTAGGTGTAGTGGTAGTAAATCAGGTAACAAAATAATACAGTGACCCTTTGTAGCACAGGATAATGCCAAAAAACTAACAATCCATAGTTTTCTTTTAATCAGTTTTGAATTGGTAAAGTGTTGACTATCAAAACGTCATAAATGAAAAGTAAAAAACACATATAAGGCACTTTTAAGATTATCTCAACAATTTGTTATTGCTTTTTAGTATTTCACACTTAAGTTTCATTGCTATTCCCGGATGAGTGGGGTAATGAGGTTTTTAGAACAGTTGAACATTCTTCTCTTGGAGAAGTCAGGATCTCAAATGTCCGTGTATGGCCTGAAGTAAAGAGGATATGTCTTTTCAGAAACACATCTATACAGTCATGAATTTATGGTTTGTATCATTAGGTTCTCTTCATTAACTTTACGTACCTGAGTTATCTACTGCAAAGAAAGTATATTACAGGGGATGTAATGAACTTGATTCGGATTCATGAATACATAGAATTTAGGTAGGTATGGTATAAATCAAAATTAGTGTCATACAAAAAAGACATATGAACCTATCTTTATCACTATCTACTATAAAAATGCATCTTTTGACATTTTCTCTTGCTTCCTATGTCGAAACTTTAGATTAGAGGTTCAAAGGTGATTCTAGAAGTACGAATGTATTCGTTTCTTTTTTTGTTGTTGTTGAAATTTTGGGCCTGTGTTTAATTCTATACTCCTTAATCCCCCCTACTTTATCCCTTTATTTCGATTCATATTTTCTATGTTTTAGCAGTTTCAACCTCTTTTTTGATGTAGTTTAAGAAATTAGATTAGCGAATTTTTACACCAGGTCCTAAGTTACTTATAGCCGATTGACCACTTGATTGATAGATTCAGGGTCTTACACTGGTCTCCTAAAAAGTCAGTTCTGTTTCTAGAAAATTTCCTGCATATGTTTCAAGAATCTTTTTCAATGTTGATAACTTTCAGACAATATGTATTTTTAAACTGTTGCTATATATAATATATAGTACGAAATTCTTTACCATTCATGAGTTTCAACTGAATTTGCATGTCTCCCACACTCGATATTCCCACTGAAACTCGAATTCAGGGCCTGTAGTCTCAAACGCCTACGCGTTACCACATAAGCTGATATGTATTATAATATAGCCTTATAAGGACCTATAGCTAAGATTAATATTCAGGTATTTGTTCAGAATGCAGATATTCAAACAGAGACCGATCAAATACAGTTCAAAATATTACTAACGCTTACAATGTACAAATACTTCAAATATATTTTCGGTTTCATGGAGATAATGAAGTCATTAAGTTTTATAATTTATTATACCTTTTTTAATAGGTGAAGGATGGATTCCATTTGCTGAATTACCAGAATTAGCTAAAATTGCACTGACTGGTGTAGATAATCCAGCTATTCAAACATTAACTGATGCTTTGTCAGCAAGTTCTCGTCAAAGTCTTCTAGAAAAACAAACTTTACCTGCTATCTCTGGATCAAAAGATTAAAAAAAAATGGCAGCATTAATAATAATGGCAATAATTTTAAAGTAAATGTTGTTTGAATAAATGTTTCAATTTTTTTGTTGTTGACAGAAATCTATATTTCTATACTACTTACTATTTTCATTTTCAGTAGCATTTGCAAATAAATATCTATACACATATCTTTTATTAATCATGTGGTTTTAATACCCATTACTTTTATTTGCTTTTCACTGTGTTGTTCTCATTATTCTTTCCTTAAAATCATTTGAATGGATTCACTTCTTTTATCATGATTATCTCGTCATTAATGTGATATACAATTTTTAAAGTATATTTTGCTGTTCAAGATAGATGGAAACCAATTCTTAACTTATTTTTAAAGAACTTGATAAAATGAAAAGTATCAACCGTTGTAAAATCCTTTAATATAAGAAACTAAATGTTGTATGAGATCATGATTTAAAGCATATTAGAACAATAGCACCTATCTAACCCTCATTGCTTTTTTTTTCTTTAATGGTTATTTAGTAAAAGTTGATTTTCTGACAGAAAACTAGTTTCAAAGAGTATTTTTTTCTTGTGTGTGTGTGTGGCTTATTTCCATTTGTACTTTTTCATGTACTTTTCTTTGCAAAGATTCACTTTATATTTTTATGGTTCTTAAGTGGACTATTTCTTTCTTGAACTTTGTTCAAGCTGTGATTATTTATTTATTTATTTCTCTCCAGAATAAAAAACGATATAACTATTTATTTTTTGTTGTTGAAATCATGAGTCAATTGAAGCTAGACCACCATGGAAAACCTGGAAGCAGTGGACGGCCGTTTCGTCCTAGTATGGGACTCCTCAACAGTGCTCATCCAAGATCCCGCATCCCGCGAGATTCGAAGCCGGGACCTATCATTCTCGCACCAGGCGCTTAACCAACTAGACCATAGAGCCAGCATCCCGTGGTGTTAATGTCTAACTTCAACCAATCCACGAAATTGCGCGACCATCTTCCATTGTACTGAGGTAGACACCTGTTTCTACTCGACACGGATTAGCTACACTAGTTACGGCTTCTCAGAACATTTAATTTACCTACCGTAAAAATAAGATAAACTTAATGTTTTTATTATTATCACGGACACATGAGAAATACTCCAAGTAACTGTGATATTCTGATCGTCATAGTTTCACTTTTTATTCAGATCACTATTGTTAACCACTGTCGTACAGTAAAAAACAAACAAACAAACAACAACAACTAATAATCATGATTTATCAATTTTCTCTGTTACTTAGTAGTGAACAAGAATACGAATGAGGACAATTGAAAGTATTTGATATGAATATTTCAATAAAATCTGAGAACCATATAGTAAATAGTTAATTTGCAAAATATTAATCCATCGTTTCAAATTTGACTGTTCCTTTCGTAAATATCAGTCCATTGCCTTAGATTTCATTGTTCATGCATTTTCATACCAATTACGTTCTGTTCTCATTCTTTCCTTCTTGATCTTCTAGTGAAATACATTCTATACCTGACCATCGTTATATGCTACTTATATGAATATAAGTAACTCACACTACAACTTGACTTTAAGTTATTAAATTTTATACTTTTTTTCAGCTTATTAATTATTCTCGTAATTTTTTTGTGCACTTATTACTATTCTTATCTTTCTTATTATTTGAACCATCAAATCGTGTACTAAGCTGAGAAAATAAATGAAGTTTTCTCCAATACATAACTTTATTTCGCTTATAATTCGTGTCAGAGATGATTTATCCATCTATATTGATGCAGATATATTGCTCAATAGTCTTTAGTCTTGTCAGAAATGATGTTAGCAGTTCATTTTTTGAAATGATATGAAAAAATCAAGATAGAAAGTAAAGTAAATATATTTGTAAGGGTTTGGTATATTTCCATTGTTGATGTTCAAGAATTTAATCACTCAGTCTTTATTGACATTTGTGCATCTTGTGCTGATTAATTCAATGTGAACATCAACACTGGGATATAATTGGCATATATAGTTGACGAGTTCCAAATAAAATGAAACACAAGTCTAGGTTTCTACTGTCAGTCATTATCCAACTTAAACAAAATAAATGTGACTATTTTTACTTGATTGTTAAATTTATTTGACAATATCTTGGCTAATTTAAGTGACACGTTGATAACTTTAGAGTATAGGAATAGCAAATAAATATTTATTCAGCATAAATCCAAAATAACGATGTTCTAAATATTACAAATGAATTCTAAATGGTCATAGAATACTTTCTGCATACCACATATCTGATATTATGAATATAAATATAATCCGACCAGGAACTTTGTGGGATCCAAGATAATCTAAAGATTATAATAAAAGCTGACGAGTAGCCAAGGCAAAAAGGTGATTTAATGAAATCCGCTTGTGTAGAAATCACCGTTACTAGTTAAAGGAATTTACGAACAAGGTTTCCATTACAAATCTACTAGACAAGATCGTTTATGATTTTACATATAAAAACTAGACTCTATACTACTGAATTAACACCAACATGTGGAAATTCTGCTGCATAGAGACCTGGATATTTTCTTCTCGTAATCAAATCAAAATGACCTAACTAATAGATTGTTGTTTTATAAGTGAGTTAATTAATGGTAATTGTTCACTTTAAACAAATAAAAAAGGAAGTGAGTAACTGACATCAATATAAATCAATAAATTCGCTTTAAAGACAGCTTATTTGTTAACTTTTTATGACGAAGTCACTGAAGAGCTTTGGTAAGACAGCTTCGTAGTCTAAAATTTAGACGTAATTGTACATAACTTTAGTTGTCTTTTAGACAACTGTGAGATAACGATGGCGATTCGTAGTTCAGCAGGAGGATTTTGAAGATATTTTGTTCTCTGAGCTAAATAATTTAACTGCAGAAATTCCCTACTCTTTCTAGACAACATTATCGACACAAACTTAAAATGAGGAAGATTAGTATATAATTTTCGATATGCGGTTTTGGAGATGGTTGAATTTCACTGAAATCAGTGACCTATGTTAAACTGCAGTAAATACGAAGACAAATGGGGACAATCGAATGTATTTAACAAAGCATTACACGACTTGTTAATAAAATCTAACAATTATATAATAAATGCTTAATTTGCAAAATGTTCATCAATTGTCTCAAAATGACTCAAACTTCATTGTTCTTGCATTTTCATAGAAATTGCATTTTGTTTTCATTCTTTACTGTTCTATCCCCTTGTCTCTCTGCTGCCAGACATTTTGTTCACGACTAACATCATATACTACTTATGTCAATATAAGTAGCACACACACCACAAAACCACCATTGAGAACCTGGAAGAAGTGGACGTCCGTTTCGTCTTAGTGTGGGACTCCTAAGCAGTGCACGGTCGCGAACATCAGCCAGAAATAAAACGGAATCTCCTCTAGAAAAGTTATTCAGCTCAGTAAATACAACACCTATAATTCAGGAGAAATTTCTTCAATATACTAAAATGATGCCAACTATAAATAAGACAATTTTTTTCTGGAATTGACATTCGTTATTCACAGTTTTTTATGCACATATATCAACTTTAAGTACAGACAAAGAGGAAAATGATGAGTTTAGTTTGAACAAAGGTTTCCTGATAAAAATAATAAATGAAAATGGGAGCTAGCTTTGAGTTAACCAACTAAACGCTGGTCAAATATTTTGCCAAAACATATTAGTTACTTTTAAGTAGTATGAAATATTAGATATATATTACGTTAGCTTGATTTCATCCTGTTCAAGCAAGTATTTTTGTCGTTTCAGAATTATTTACAGTAATAATGAGAAAAAGAAATACTGAATTACAACCATTATTTCTCGATTGTTTTTGATAGCCAGTTGGATACATGGTGTCTAACGATCTCCATCATTGTACTATATACAATATCTGTGTTTTTTATATCAATCTTAACTTACAAGAATATTAATCGCAAATACATTTTTTGTTGTGTCCCAATGAGTAGACAAGTTGTATTGCTGACGTTTCGTGGGGTAATGTAAGCCAATTTTTCAAATGAAATAAGTAACTGAACTAAATTACCACATGTTTAAATAGTACTATTTTCTATTGTGTGCTATTCGGATGTGTTAATTTAATTCGGTCATTTATTTACTCGGAATAAGTGGTTTACATTAAGTCACGAAATGTCTACTCATTGGAATATAACAAAAAGTTATACTTACTATTAACTTTCTATCCAATACTCAATTTATTTGAAACTATCAATTTCAACCTTTTCATTGATACCTATATACTCATTTACAAAAAATATTGTTCACAGCCACTATTGAAATAAAGTTTTTATTTGATTACCTGTAATGTTGTTGAAACTAGTCAATAACTGATCAGAAATCCCCTTAGAAGCCAGAAGATTGACCAGAACTAGTTTTTCCCATCACCGTTTCTGAATATTTCTGAGAAAATTCACTGTATTTAACCTTTATCTCGTTGATCCGGTGCATCAGTTACTACTAAATTAATATTTTTTCCAAGGTGACTAGTGAAGTTGTCATTAAACTAACCTCAGGATTAAAGCTTTATTCACATATTCAATATCTGATTTCGTTTAAGATTCTAGCGTTTAGGACTCAACCCCGTGTCACCCAGCTTTACAAACTGATACGTCGCCAATGATCTGCATGAGTTGCGACTGACCTAAAAGACTGAGATGCATTTAAAATCTCTTGATCAATAGTTAGTGATCAATGTGTCTCAGCTTGAAGCTGAGTGACATAGGATTGAATCCGTGAGAGAACATCAAATCCCTCATGATTACAGGTACACCTTTCAGAAACAACCGGTCATTTTCAAAATTTTACTATAACCTGTCACACAATAAATAAACTAACTAACTAAATATAATAAAACCATTAAGTTTGTTTCAATCGAATCACTAATTTGTTCACTTCAATAAAGTAGAAATTGTCAAAAATAATGTTATGATTTCATAACTTAAAAAATATTGTTTTATTCACT